CATGACCTATTCTCCAGGAATTTATGGAATGGTTTTAACTGTAACTTTAAAAATTACAGACTCACACATCTTTCTTTGAAAGATGGTTACCCTTTTGCCTCTGGTTTTCATTCTCATCACTAAATGTAATTGTTCTCTCAAATTTATTATAACTGAGATTGTCCGAGTTGTTTTGGCTTTTTTACTCACACTATTTCACTCTAAGCTGTAGGAAGGAATAGCCAAGTGGGTAAAGTGTGATGCCACTATGAAAACTATCATTGCCTTCAGTCCCAGAACCTCACACTGACCTTGGACCAGGTCATCTCCACACTCAGCAGGAGTAAATTATAAGAAGCACTAAACAGAAACTTCCTGCATTTGTACAATGAGTAATAGCATACTCTCATTTTTAATACAGTGTGTTAGGACAGTGAAGATATGCAAAACTGTTTCCCCAGTTGTTTGGTCCTCTTCTGCATTTTCCAGTGTTTTTATCAGATGACCAGTAAGACAATGTGCTCCTGGCTCCTGACAATTCAGGGCATTTCAAGCATGACTCACTCTTTTGTACCAAGTCTTGATTATTGCAACAGCTACTTAGTTCATCACTGCCCTCAGTGCCTTTGTAATCATCACTTGCCAGGCGTTGGGATAGAATCAGACTCCCTAAAGACACTCTGGGCTGTAATCCCCTGGTAGTAACCAGAATTAACTCAGTAAATTTAACTTAACTTCCTACAATGCAACTCTGTTTTATCCCAAAGCAATGACAACAGTGCCTGTTTCTAATTAACAGAATTAATTAAAGTCAAGTCTGATTTATTTAGAATTTGAACCATTGAGACAAGTACAGAACTTACTTACGTATTTAGATGACAACACTTGAAACTTATCTTTTCCTGCATGTGGTTCAGTAAGTTACAGTCAATAAAAAATAATTAATACACTTGTTGGTCCCTTGTAAGTCGTTACAATGTACCTCAGTAAGACAGATACCACATCTTATAGAGATGTTGTACAATATTAAAAGTAAAGTTGATTTACGGACTAGAACTTCATAACTCACAGTTATAAAGCAGGTATGCTTATTGCAGTGCGAGGGGGTTCACGCCTCCTAACTCACACACTGAGAGCTCAACAAGCTAGGTATTCATTACACACAAACATCCATATTCATCAGATTTCACAAGCATAGGAGGAGTTGACTACAATTAGTTCCAAGAACTCGTTAATACCATTCCCTCCCCTCTACGCCTGCGCGCTGCCAGCTGGTGGTCTTGGGCCAGGGTCTTCTGGATGAAGTAAGAGGTCTTCCTCGCTGTGCGCTTTTCACCCTTGGCACAGTTTCCCCAGCTGGCAACCTCAAGTCTTTTAAAGACCAGTTGAAAAAGGTTCCTGTCAGACATTCATCTTCTTGAGGGAAAAGGGTCCCTGACGTTAAACAATGGGTTTTGGTTACGCATTCTATTCTGGGTTATAGTTTAACTAGCAAGAACAAGAACATACCTGTTCCCTATACTAAGTTAAGACAATCAATACGCAGTTGGAAAAAAACTCTTAACCCTTTCCTTAGTCCATTACTATTCCTTGCATCAAAATGTTGTAGCAAAGTATCCTTGGGATGTTTAGTAGAGCTCCATGTCATCACAACTGATTCAGTGAAAAGTGCTGTTGAAGTTGTTTAACTTTCAGAACAAAATATTTGAAATCATCAAGAAAAAAGGCAGAATTTTGGGAGGAAGAGGAGTCTAACTTTCTGCCTCAGGGGGGCAAGATACATAGAGACGTGCATGTAAGACTGCTGTGCATGTAGCTGCCAAAATATCTCGTGTCTTTTTATGACCACATGAAGTTCGAAAAGCTATTGGGATATAGCTATATAAACCTAATTAGACAAATATCTTCTGGGTTTTTTTCACTATAGCTGCTTGTCACGTGCAGCACAGAGTCTTGCATTGCATGACCTTCAATTAAGCACAGAGTCATCTACACCGTAGAGTCCAGTTCTGACACATACTCCTACAAGGCATTCAGTGAAGAGTTCAGAGCAAACGGTTGAGTTTCCAAGCTTTCCACGGAGAACTTTTTATAACCTTGACTACCTGTTTTATTAAAAATGGAAGTGGTTTGCTCATCAAGTAAATTCATCAAGTTTACATAGCTTTCCTTTGAACTGAGCTTGCATTTGATGTTAACTGTAAGAACAGGATGTGTAATCTTAGCACTTCTATAACCCCTGATTAACCTCAAAAACATTCACCCATGCTTTTTTAAAAAACACAAAACCTCAAATTGAGATTCTTTTTCTTTTATCAGAAGACAGTTTAGCATTATAAGCCACTGAATGTCATCAGATAACCCTTTTTGTTGTCTTGACAAAGAGCTAACTCTAAACTGTGGTAAAATGAAGTAAGAAAGTACTTGTAACTATAGCTGGGGATCTTCTGGCCCTCTGGAAGAGAAAAATCTGAGCAGTCTTAGAAGTTACATTGGAGACCATATGAATAAAGCCGATACTCTGCGTATGCTAAGAATATCCATGTTCTCTTGAAGATTAGTATTAACACTTTGGCTGTTATCTATATATGCTTCCAAGATCTAAAAATCTCAAATTAACAAGATAAATCTGGCAAGAAATTTCAGACAATATAAATTTCCATGCACTGACCACTGAAACAGCTGAATCTGCTTTAACTTTGAAAATGGTAATGAGTCTTCATTTATCACTGGTGCTTAAGCAGAGCCTTAGTTGAAGCTGCTCAGGCATTCTGCTTAATTGCCAAAGGCATATGGCAAAGAATGACTAAAACTATTCTGTTCCAATGCTAATGAGTTCAGAAATTCAGGAACAACAGTTGAAAAAATAGTGAATACAAATGCTTAATAATGAGCAAGGGGATGATGTCATTTCAATTGCTGCAATAAAGAATATGTCTTTCAAGAGAATGTCAAGTGATCAGCCTGCTGTTTGTGGAATGAAATTAGACTGGTGAGCACTGTAGAAAATCTTTTCTGCAAACCTGTTAATCCACTTGCAATTTACTTCTTTTTGTGATAAAGATAAGTTATTGATATGCCAATGCAAACAATCTCTCTGTAAGCAGTTCTAACCCTGCCCTTGTGAAAACTAATCAGCATTTCCATTTCTATTTCCAACCTGCTCGCTTCTGTTCTAATACTGAAATGCAAAACAATATTATTGTACAATCTTTATATGTTCATAGTTTTGCAAATAAATTAAACCCTACAACAATTCCTTGTGAGAAGTAAATGTTGTTGTCCCCTTTGGATACTTATGAAAGTCGTAACATAAGTAGAACGGTTTGCTGAAGGCCATGCAATGAGTCAGTGTTATATCCAATATTACAGATTAAGATCATTGCTCTGAGCAACTGCCACGCGTTGCCTAGACCAGGAGATCAATAGATGCTGAACTGCGAGCTATTTTTAGTGGAGAATTCACTCATCCGTCTCATCTTGTCTCCCTACTGTGTATGCCACCTTCCTTATACTCTACTATTAAATCAATAACACATTCACCAGTATCCTTAGAAGCTTTTTTCTGTTCAAATGGGAAAGAATTACACTGAATAGTTTTCTTGGTTTAATCTGCAAAAAAACTTGTCCTTATACTGTGTATTATTTGCTTATGTGTTTCTTGAAGCTTTTGAAAGATGTTTTTGTCATGATAAGATTCATTAACAAAGAACATAATTATTAACAAGTTTCATGTTGCAATGTTAAGGAAAAAAAGAACTGCTTCTGAAGATTACCTTACATGCAACACACTAGGAAATGGATAACACAGTAAATACTTTAGTCACTGTGAAGGGAACAGTTAAGAATGGATCCCCATCGTTGCATATGTCTATTAATAGGGCTCTTTTCTCTGGTTATGTTTCCTTGTTGATGAAAATAGGGCAATTCTTGATTTTCCATTTGCTTAACATTAAGAAGTCGCTTTCCCCTCTGTGTGTTCATTTCTTTTTCTATTGTCTTTTAATCATATATTTTATAAATATCTTGTTATGTAAAGAAAACTCTACAGTTATTTTCCCCAAAACTTACTATACTATATACAAAATATACTACGTGCTTCCTAATGAAACAATGAATCTTGGTTTTGTCCAAACTGATTAATTTTGGGACAAAGAAAGAAACCAGAACATCCAACATAAAATGCAAATACTGAAGTATTTTCAACATTCCAACTCTTGTTTCAGAAACCTAAGATTTTACGTGAAAAAAAACAAAGCAAAATAATATTGATATCGCAGCTCAACAAGCCTTGACATTTACATCACCCGTAGCATGAATCTAGAGTAGCAAATAACCAGTGGAATACTGTCACTGTCTGCTTTAGGTTTTTGATTCTACACATTTAATACAACTTATTTCCTAATACAATTATTTTCATAACTCTGTTTTATTTGATAGCATTTTTTCCAATTCAGGGTAAGTTCCTGAAATTAATATAAGTAGCAGTCACAATAAATGCAATGTGCTCCTTTATGCAATGCCTCTGGAAACCATTACACACAAACAGTTTGCAGATGCAGCTTAGAGAGGATTTGAGTCTGCTTGATGTGGAGACTGAGCTGGATGCTCTCTGTTCTACACAGATTATTCTAAACTTTCATTCAGTCAGTGCTAAAGTTAGAGTGTTAGTGCATATGCTTCATATTGTCTTGATGATGATGATGTAAGGAAGATTTGATATCATGATTCTTCAGTTTTCTATGCAGCAGAATAAAATGCAATGAATCTGATACTCCGCTTGACAAACATCCTCTAGCAGATGTGAACGGAAGCCCAGAGGTACAGCTGCATTGTACTCGAACTGGAACATCCCTCACTTGAAATAATTAACCACTGAACACAGCTGAATCATGATTTTAACAGTGTTCAGTTCCTGGGCTAAACATCGTCTCTGACTTTTCCAAATGTTAAGAATGTGTTAAGATTTACACTAAATGTTCCTTTTAAGTATCTCTCTTACTCATTTTTTATTCTCTTAGATGGATGAATCGTTTGGGCCTCGCAGCAATTGGTTACACACCTGATGACAAGGATATTCATCCAGATGAAGGTAATGCTTCAGATATAATTGGGAGAAAAAAGCAGAGAGTACATATCTGTTCATTATTTGAACAAAGTTGGAGATGTCATAAATGTCTCCTTTATTAACCATATCTTTTAAAAAATCCATTTTCCTAAGAATCCCTGTCCTCAAAGCACTGTATTTACTGGTGCCGCCACCACAGAAAATAAAATCCTGAGCAAAAATTCTTGGAACTGTTTAAAACCAACAATAAGGAGAATGCAAGGTTGAGGGTGAAGTATGACCTCCCCAGTCGCAGCCATCGGGTTTGCTCATCACCTTGGAGCAAGTGAAGACATGACAAACACAGGTCACTGCTTTAGAATTGGTTTTGCATCTCCTGAGCTCAGGTGCCAGCCTTGCCTCTTTCACCACTACCGATGGTGGAAGCTCTTATGCTGAGATAATTAAATGAAGTGTTGAGGTTCAACTTTACTTCGACAACTAGAATGAAGCTTCTCTTTGAAAATCTGTGATCAGAAGGTGGTTTTTACGTATGGTGGTAGTTAGGTGCCTATCCTGCTTTCTGTAACACTATCCTAAAACCTTTGATGGTGATTCTACTATCAGTGTGCCAGACACTTTCACGAGTCTGTTCCTTAGTGACTGCCGAACACCTAGGTGACTGTGAAAAGTTTACCTTTGCATGCTAATGGTATTTAAAGCACATGAGTGAAACCCAGAATGCTTTGCTAGCAGATTACTGGAGTGAAAGCGACCAGGATGACATTGATGGCTCTCTGACCCTGAAGCAGGAAGGCTCTTCAACACTATGTGACAGCTACCATCGAACACCCTCAGTGAGTTATAAATACTGCATTTGACAGTAGGTCACCAAAAAATGTATGTGCCTTTATTTGCATTTTCCTTGGTTTGGAATATTTAATTGCCATCAAGGCAGAGCAAAGATGAATCTCATTGTAAGAATGAAATTACTGCTGTTCATCATAAAGTAAGACCCAGATGCTTCCTTAACAATCCGATTGCAAAAAAAAAGCTGTGGTAAATGTCTCCTTACACAGATATGTCACCAGACTGCGAATGTGACCTTTACAGGATTTGAGAGACTATACCTACTAATAGTCAAATACTGGCTTTTCTGCAGAATATGAAAAGAATGTGGTGGATGGGATACTGAGACTGCTTTCTGAGCATGAATATTGGATACCAGATGATAGAGATTAAGATAGATCACATTCGTGAGTGATCCTGTTCTAGTACAAGCATATTTTTAAGGAACATATCTTTAGAGGCAACAGCTTATTTACAGCATGAAGCATTGTGTCCAATACCATAGTAGTGACAGTATCTTCCGATAGTCGGAAGATGTGAAGGAGCTGATAAAAGTACTTCTAATATATTGTGTGCAGACAGGGTTTGATAACTGAGGCAAAAAAAACATTTTGTATACGAAGAAGCTCTAGCAGCAAACAAGAACATGTCTATTATATGGAACATAGACAAGCTGTGATAATTACTCTGTATTTCTAAGTGCAGATAGGACTGTTCTCTATTTTTCTTTCAGATTTTTCTTCAGCGTGAATGACACGATCCTCATACAGCCAGAACCAAAGAAAGAGTGACTGAGACAACAGCATCACATGGGTGAAGTTCAGACTGATTTTCACCCATGTGATGCTGTTTTATCAACTGAGATACAGGTTAAGCCCCTCCCTTTCTGTTTTTCCACATTTTTGCCTTTCTCTTTGCTTTTGAATTAAAATTCTATAAAGACCCAGCAGAAGTAACTAAAATGATTCGAGAATTCAGCAGACCCCCTGGGTGCTGAAGTTGTTTCGGTTGTGGGGTTTTTTTCCTATTTGGCTGGATACTTATTCCCTAAAATGAATAAATCCAATTATAGTTTCTTTTGAGGACTTTCTTGTCTTCACTGCATACTGCTGGACTGAGCACAAATTGGATGGGTCTTCAGGAAATCTGTACCATGATTATACTGGTCTTTCCAGCAGGAGTTGCTCATGGGCAGAGAATGTGTAAAACAAGAATAGGGAGTGGTTAAAACATAGCACTGGCATAAAGGTGCTCACTGCTAATTATATTCTGTTTACAGAGGTTCATATTATGACATATCAAAACACACATATAAGACCATTCTATTAGTGTGTATCACATAACGTTCTACACTACAGTCATTTCTTGGGTCTGTTTAAACCGTTGGTTTATCGTCAGGTACTTTTGTATCTCTTCAGGTGAATTCTTCAAGTCCATTCCCTGAAGTCAAACAAGGTCGACACTTTTCAAGTGAATCAACATATTCTCATTCTTCTGCTGAGGATTCTCGGCAAGATGTAGCAGGAAGCACCCACTCATCGGGATGCAGACCTCCCTACCGAGAGAGACGCTCGTGGCAGGATCTGATAGAGACTCCACTAACCAGTTCAGGGCTCCATTTTCTTCAGACTGTTCCTCCTGATGCAGAGTACATGAGTGGCCAGCCTGGAATGTCACCAGACAGACGAAGACAAGCAACGCTACCAGTCCAGAGACGGCACAATTATGAGCAGGATGGGCCTTTCCCTTTGGTGGAATGTCAAAGGGGACACAGCTCTCACAGCAGGCCACAGCAGCAGCGTAGTCAAAGCCTTCCCCGAAACAGAGACGTGAGGGGTAAGGGCCATGTGAAGTCCATAGAAGGAACAGATGACAAGCTAGAAGAGAAAGTTCCTATTAGAAGGCATAATAGTTTCTGTGCAGAAGGTAAGCTTTTGCAGATGTTCTGACCCTCTGAATGCTGTTGAAAGCCAGAGCAATATTGCCATTACTCTCAACAAGGTTTTTGTTGTTGAACAGTTTTATATTGGCAAATACATGTAACAGGAGTTTGTACTTGAAATCCTTGGATATAATGCTAAGAGCATAGCTTTGGGGCTGATCAAAATGTTCTTGTTTTAGCAAAACAAAAATTAGAGGACTGTTATGCCTGAATTTGCAGTATCGCTTGCTGGCTTTAAAAACTTCACCTGAATCATTAGATTGATTGTTAGGCTTCTTTCTTTCAGAAAATGTAAAGGAAATAGGAGAAAATACAGATGGTCTGCAAGAGCTCTACAAGTCTCTGGAACAAGCCAGTTTGTCAGCTTTTGGAGAGCAGCGTCCTTCCACCAAGCAGGAGTTCCGCAAGTCTTTTGTAAAGCGATGCAATGATCCAGTCATCAATGAAAAGCTGCACCACATCAGAGTTCTCAAGAGCACTTTAAAAGTAAGGCTTTATCACTAACTTTGTGTATAAGCAACATAAACTAGTGAAAGTATAAACGTTTCCCACGGATGAGGCTTTCTTTGGAGCTTCAGAATTAAGTTCCAAAGAAATGAAAAACACTTGAAAACAAACATGTTCCAGCTTAAGGAAAATAAATAAGTAAATAATTTGGCACTCTTCATAGGCATGTGACTGGTTCTCAGTTTAAGCTCTAAAAGTTCCTGAATGTAGGTGAAAGTGTCACATGTCCATAGCAGTTTCCCTAACCCTTTGCATTAAAATGAAAGAAGAAATAAAGTGACAAAAGACAAAATGTGGCGTAAGTTTCATTTTGACATGTACTTTGTCTTTCTGGAATTTGATAGGCAAAGGAAGGGGACCTTGCTGTTATCAACAGTCTTCTGGATGATCCCAACTTAACATCAAAGAAGTTTAAAGATTGGAAACTAAAGAACTATGAGTTTTTCCTGGACATTTGTGAGTACAGTGCTGCTGTGAAATCTCAAAACGGAGCCTCTGAAATTGCATCCTCAGCACCAATGCTGACACATACACACTCCTTCATTGAAACTCACGTGTGACAGGACTCATACCCTGAATAATTGCTGGGTGCCATGAAAGATTGAATAAGATAAATACTGTAATATTTATTGATAATGTACTCAGCAGTACTGTAAATAAGTTGGATAAGAGAATAGTGCCACAGGATGCCTACTACATTGCATGATAAGACAATAATATTCTTTATTAATTTTTTCCATTTGCTATTATCAACCAATGTCCGTATCAAGCTCTGCATTAGAAAGAAGCAGTGCAGAAGTGTAACTGAAAATAAGTACCAGTATATTTGAAGTACTGTACTAAAACTAAGCTTATAATATGAGCTCCTACAATCATTTTATATATTTAGATATAGATCAAGACATATCTACGTATATAAAATGTAACGCAGTAGTTTACATTACTTTTAAAATGCCCTGAAGTTCACATCCTCACACATTCTTTCTTGAGAAAAACACAAAATGAAAACATCAACACATTGGCCACTCTTAGAGATGAATGTTTATTTTTGCAACATTTCCAGGTAGTGACCATCATTGCAAATAAAAGGACAGAGTTATCAAAATGTAAACTCAATCCCTATAGTGTGCCTTAAAATGTACACTGTACATCTAGCAAATAGATCCCAGTCTGGCCCTATGGGCATACTGTACATGCCATTTAGGTACTGTGTTTGAAACATACTGTGACTGCCTTTAAAGTGAAAGAATATAAGCAAGCAGGTATGGCACAGAGATTAAGATACGAGTAGAACAATGTTGGTTGTTCACTAATGCTGCAACTCAAACTGATTTTAATATAATTTGAAGTATATCATGGTGAAAGAAAATACATCTGCACTGAATATACTACATACTGCAGGTTTTCATAGTTTCTTCACTGTGAATTTAAGTGACATGTGACTGTGAGTCACAGAATTCTAAAGAGCATGCTTCAAGGATGAGAATTAAGTTTAAGAAACTCCTGAACTAATCAATTAAACTGTAATAGACTGACACCTAGAGCTGAGAAAATGATTCAAAATGATACAATGTCTGGCAATAATTTTTAACTGTTAGTAATACATTAGGAAGTGGGTGAAGTTATTCAATACATCATTTGAAACTCAATCTTGTACTGATTGGTTTAGGAAGACACATGAGTCACATAGTGTATTTCACTTCCTTGCCTGGATGGGAATGATTTCTAAGAATCAGATTTTGGAGAAAATACTTTTGGAAAAAAGATAAAAAGAACAAACAAACAAAAAAATTGCTCTATGTTCAGTAGCATTTACTGAACATAAACTCCTAACACCCGTTCACAATTTTCTTTGACTATGCTTGCTAGAATATTTCTAAAAGCAGAACAAAGGGGATGTGAATTCAGCTGGCATCATTTCACTCAAACACAAGCATTCACTGATAATCTTTCCATGAGATAAATCTCGTCTCTCATACATCAAGAACCGTAAAATTGACACAGCTCAGTACAATATAGGAAAAAACATTATCTTAGTGAGGTCCTGCTATCCAGGAAGACGTCATTATTCAAGAAGCCAGAAGTGGTGAAGTTTGAACTAAAGTTATTTTTTAGTTCAGTCTCCACAAAGCGGCTGTGGTGGGCTGATCTTGGCTGGCCACCAGTTTACTCATTCCTCCTCCTCCTCATTAGGGAAACAAGGAGAAACTATCATGGAAAAGCTTGTGGGTTGAAACAGGGAGATCACCTACCATGGGCAAAATAGACTTGGTTTGGAGAAAATTAATGTAATTTATTGCCAATTAAAAATACTATTACCACAAAAGTTGGTCAGAGAAACTCCCTAAGACTCAATATAGAGTTTCAGAAAGCAGCATTCTTCATTGCAGCTCTGGGCGCACATGCAAATTGCACCCATTGCTTACCGGCAGCAGCTCTATATTTAGCATACTCATGCATATTTACAGCTTTCCCAGGAAGTTACTTACATATTCATGACATTCCCGGGAACTAATTATAATATTTGCATCCTAATTACACATGCGCTTTCTTGCTGAGTGGGGGTCTCTGCTGGTCTCTGATAGTCTTCCTCACTGTGTTTACTGAATGACCTCAGTGCCTGCGCACGCTCACAAGGTCCTAGTGCTGAGTTAGCAGCTGGTAGGTCCTGGCATCTGTTCTGTTCCATGTTGGGCGACACTGCTATCTTAAAGGCTGGCATCCTTGGTCTGATTTACTGTGTCCTTAGTTGCTATCAGTCCCATGATGCTCCTTCTCCTGTCAGCCGAACCAAACACCATTAGAAAGATATATTTTCACCTGCTTATCTAGAACTTTTTTCTTAACATACAACAACTACTCAAAGAGATTCCACACTGGATGCCACTCTACTCTCTTAAAGGCTGGCATCCTTGGTCTGATTTATTGTCTCCTTAGTTGCTATCAGTCCCATAATGTTCCTTCTCTTGTCAGCCCAACATTTCTTTCTCTCTACGTGTTAGCAAGTTAGAACAGTTTGCTCTATTCTACTATGGCACTTTAAAGTCACACCTCTATTGTTAGTTTAAACCTGTAATTTGAGTCTACATTTTCCCCTTTGAGACACAGGATATATGTATATATCCTGATATATGTATACATATATATGTATATATACATATATCCTGTAGATCTCATTCTATACCCTTTACCCATATTTGATTCTAATACACCATTGTGACCAACAACTACAAAATTAAATCATCATACATGCTAGGATACAGACACAAATTACTGATGATCATTACAAACGAGGTTTTTTTTAACCATATTCAATTTGGTAGCCAAGAAGTAAGTCCATGCCATAATTCTTCAAATCCCCAGGAAGTATCACCTTCAGCAGCCTGATAGAAGACCTTAGCTTGCTTCCAGATATCTGCCAGATCTGTGGATATCCTGCCACTCTGGTCTATGTATGTGCAGCAGCTTGTGTTTATAACTGTACAAACACCTCCTTGGGAAGATAGTAGCTGATCAAGCGCCACACGGTTTTGCAGTGTCATCTGAGATAGGCTGGATACCTCAATCTGTAATGCCTGTATAGCATCTATAATGTTGTCTTTGATGTTTCAGTTCCTGCTGCTGTATTTATGATCATCTTTTCTAATTCACTCACCCCCAACCAAGGGAGAAACCATCTCACAAAACTGTGACATTTTGTAGGACAATCAACAATGGCATTACGGAATATCTTGGTCCTTTTTAGGAAGGTTCTTATCCGTCCTTTTTCTGGTTGGAGAGGTTTGATTATTGTAATATCCATGAGTACAACTCTCAGTGTACATGTTCAGTCCATCCTGGGGGAAGGGCTTTTCTAGCAATATTATGACACAACCAATACCACCCTTTCCCTTCTGGAGCATTCCAATAGCCTGTCTGAGGTTCTTTGATTTGAAGTTACATTGTCCAGATACAGTTTGGGTAATGTCCTACCACGATATCACCAGAGTTTTAACCTGGTGCCAGCAGGTATTGTCTGAGATCCTGTTTCCCCTGCAAAGACATATCACCAGGAACAAAAGGCAGTTGGTAAGGCTACCCATACATCAGTTCATATGGACTTAACATGATTCCTTCCTGGCTATGTTCGAATCCTTAACTAAGCAATTGATTCTGTTCCCCCGTAAGTTGCCTGGTGGTTTTCTTCTCACAAGAGGCTGTGAAATTACTACTTGCCTGTTTGATGTAACACACCGTTCTTCTTGGCTCCTAATAGACTAGGTAATTCCTCATCCTTGGTTTGATAACTTGGAACTTCGTTATCCAAGCACTGATACTTATGAGGCAATATTAATATAAGGTCCTCACCCACAGCTTCTTTGGCTGCTTTGTCAGCAACACGATTACCAATATTCACTGGAGTGTTATCAAATTGATATGCCTTGAAAGCAAATTTTTACTAACAATTCCAAAACTCTCTATGATCCCATGTTTGGTTACCACAGCGTATTCTGCTTTCCAGTTTCCATTTTTCATAAAGCTGCTACCATCAACAAGCAGTTTGTAGTGCACATCCTTCAGGGATGTATCTTGCAGGTGGTATGCCTGGAATACACCTGCTCAATAGTCTGTAAACCGTTGTGAGTCAGCTCTCCTGCTTCTGGATTGGTTTTGAAAACCACTGCTGTGTTCAAAATGTTAGTTCCTTTCCATTCTATGTCCTCTTGTTCTAAAAGCACAGCCTGATATTTTAACAGCCTGCCTGGGGAAAGACAATGACTGCTTTCCTGTTCCAGAATGGTTGTTACCATGTGAAGTACAAATACAGTCCATTTTTGTCCCAAAGTATTTGATAAAATTTTCTATTACAGGCTCTAGTCCTTTTCTTGCTTCCAATCTTATGGGATATTGTTCCCATCTTACTGGTCTGATGTCTGAAATGATGAATAGTTCCTGGTTCTGCAGCCTATACTACTGGTGTGACTGCATTCTCCACTTCTCCTGGTATATCTGGCTCAGTGGGTGGTTTCTGTAGTGTAAAACTTGGACCTCCACAGCCTTTTCATCAGGAACGTATATCTGAACTTTCTTTCTTTAAACATAATTTATGCATGTAACTTACTCAGTATATCTCTAGCCAGTAACAGCATGGGGCACTCAGACGTGTAAAGAAACTGATGGGTCAACACCTGTTTGCCAATTTTTACAATTTAAAGGTTGAAAGAAAGGCAGGGTTCCTGTCCACCCTGTGGCACCAATGACTGAAGCTGTTTGTTTGCTTAATTGCCCTTTACAAGTATTTAGAAGAGAATAAGTAGCCTCTGTTTCTACAAGAAATTTTACCTTATCATTCCCAACCTAACTGTAGCCAGGGGTTCTGCTGGAGAGTTTTGAATCTTCCCCCTGTCCTCCTCAGTCTTCATCTAAAGTCATCATTTTCTCTGCCTGTCCTGACATTCCACTTAATCTCTGGATTTTATTTTGATTCTCAGGGCATTCCCTCTTCCGGTGCAACCCATGGAGTCTGTTCACAGACCTTTCCATGTAACCCTTCTTTCCGACTCTTTCCTCCCAAGCCACTCCCCCCTTTCCTGGTTTCCTGGGTGAGAGCTACAGCCAACAATTTTCCTAAACATTCTGATTTTAATCTGGAGTTTATCTTCTGCCCCCACATATACAATAACAGATACCTAGTTGAAATTCAACACACTATAACCCACAATACACCCTGTATTACATTAATAATTATATTGATATATATATTAATAACTGGGGACTTATCCCCCTTTCCACTACCATTTGAACTATTTCAGGGAACTTGCACCAGCGCAGTGGTGGTCCGATTGGGATAGGTCTCCTAGGGCACATCCATTATTTTTCCCAAATCAGACTGGTCTTCCCCCTTAAGCTTTTTCCTTATATCTTCCACAGACTGACCTTTTATTAAATGGCCTAATTCTCTCCTTCATTCCTCTGATTCAGGATCAATAGTAGTATATTTATGCATCACGTCTTTTAATCTTCCCACGATTCCAGAAGGTGATTCATTTATATCTTGCTTTATTTTGTATAGCTTAAACCTGTTCACTGCCTTGGGGACCACATTCTTAATACCGAATAAAATCCACCTTTGATAGCTTGTCTGTCCTGATCCTGATTAGGGCCCCAGCTGGGATCGGTGGTAGGTACGTGAAGATTCACTGTACCTGCCAATGTGCCTGCTGTTATTTGTTGCTCTACTGCGGTCTGAGCTGTGTGAATAATCATATCCCTGTCAACACTCTCGAAAGCATGATTACCATGCCACTTGTTTCCAAATCTTCAAATCTATAATGGTAAAGGGAATCTTTATCATGACTAGACCATCATTGCCGGCATGTCTTAAAGGTGCAGTCACAGTTTCTCCTTGTTTCCCCTAGTGCACCCTGCTATAGAGCTAAATACTTCAGCTCCCTCTAAGATCTCTGATGCCTGTGCTTGTGCTTGATTCTCATTGTCAGCACATTTGGCCCTGTTGTTCACAATATCCCTTCTCTGCGGGGCTGCCATCAAATCCAAATCCTCCTTCTCCACATTCCTCAGATGTTTAGCACATAACTGTCCTACGCTGCACGAAGAGTAACAGCATTTAAGTGATTTTTACTATCTTTCTCTAAGATATTAACAAGTCCTGGGGTGCAAGATTAAAACTACAATCCTTTTGCCATTCCAAATGGCTTCTCAAAGTGAAAAACGTTTCTGCATAAGCTACTTCATCCCACTTTCCTTCTCGTCTCAAGAATAACATCAATTGTAACAAAGTATTATAATTAATTGTGCTGTTCACAGGCCACTTTTCCTCAAAATCCAGTTTGTACAATGGCCACCATTGATTACAGTGTTTTATCAGAGAAACCAAACCACCCGGCGACCCACCACTTGGTTTCCGGTGTTGCAAAACACAACCCAGCAGTGAGCTTTCCAGGACTCCCCTTTTGGATGCAGTGGTACCCAACATCCTGACCTCCACCCACACACCAGAGTCTGGACAACCAGAATGAGAACCAGACTACCTTCACCCACCGTGCAGGGCATCCCCTGTGACTAACATGCTAAGGGACCAGAAAGAATGTCTTTTTAAAGAAATAAAACCAGGGATCATACCAAGGTCCGGGGAGTTGGGGCTCCTTTCAGGGAAACTCCCCTGATGCCGGCGTGAAGGTCCCAGAGGCTCCCCAGTTCCACAGGAAACACAGCAGAGGGTCCCTGTTAGGGCACCAAATTGTTACTATAAAAGTTGGTTGGAGAAACTCTAAGACTGTGGAGTTTTAGACAGCAGCATTCTTTAGTGCGGTCTTGGGCACACATGCAAATCATTTTGCAAAGGTGAGTGCACCCATTACTTACCGGCAGCAGCTCTATATTTAGCATACTCATGCATATTTACAGCTTTCCCAGGAAGTTATTTACATATTCATGACATTCCCGGGAACTAATTATAATATTCGCATCCTAATTACACATGCACTTTCTTGCTGAGTGGGGGTCTCTGCTGGTCTCTGATAGTCTTCCTCACTGTGTTTACTGAATGACCCCAGTGCCTGTGCAAGCTCACAAGGTCCTAGTGCTGAGTTAGCAGCTGGTAGGTCCTGGCATCTGTTCTGTTCCATGTTGGGCGACACTGCTATCTTAAAGGCTGGCATCCTTGGTCTGATTTACTGTGTCCTTAGTTGCTATCAGTCCCATGATGTTCCTTCTCCTGTCAGCTGAACCAAACACCATTAGAAAGATATATTTTCACCTGCTTATCTAGAACTTTTTTCTTAACATACAACAACTACTCAAAGAGATTGCTTTGATGTGCTTTATATACCCAGATCTTACTGAACTTAGGGTCTTCATTCAGAATTCCTGCAGGTTAAGTATCCCTCAGCCAGCAGACTTCCTCTATCACTCCATAAGCTTAGTCTTATTGATACTGGCTGTTTTTCAGTTATGACTGACTGAATGCTCCCCCTAATCTACTCATTCCCCTCCTTTCTTAATACTGTTCTGTATTCAGTGAGATCTGGGATCTTTGAAAGCTGTCTTAGCAGCTGTCTCAGCAGCACAACTCAGAGACAACCGAGACCTTTTTCTTGGATTCGTCAATTTAAGTGAAAACATTCCTGATCTTACTCTAATTGATACAAACAAGAGCCAAAGGAGGACGGGGTTCTCATCAGTCTGTATGTCCCCATTCTTTAACACAAGTAATGTAGAAATGCTGGGCCCACACTCTGTGACAGCACAGGTAGGATAGCATACATCCTTTTCTGGATTTCATGGGCATCTCTAACCTCCACAGCAAAGGAGGTTGCTTTGCTTAACTGGCAAACCCCACCCTCTGATCAGCTTCTGATACAGTTCTACATCCCAAACACGAGCACTTTTTGAACTGCTTTACCTCTGTAAGGAGAGACTGATCAATTGCTACTCACAGATTTTGGAGGATGAAATTTTCCATCTTTCCTAAGCAGAAAATTCTGAATATGCCAGTTGATACTCAGATCTAGACTGCTGTCTTTTAAACAAGAAACATGGTGCACCACTTGCTTTTCCCAAGGAAACAGGAATGTTGCAGAGACTTGCTAGGTGTACATGGTCAGTTCACTTTATTCTTCCTTTCATCAGCAGTTACAGCCTTCCAGGCCAAAGCAGTCTCTGATCCCAGCTTTTGTGAAGGATAGTGAAGGTACCATTGAAGGGGTTACTTTGCAGAGGCATTGGAAAGTGCTCAGCCTCAGCAAAAATTATACACTTCTGTTGCTGACCTTTAGAAGATTTCACTTTGAATGTTGACAGGACTCATGGAAGAAAAATGAAGAATCTGGTAGAAAGTGTTTAACCTAACACAAATGAGAACAAAGAAAATTCTTGTACCTCTTATCTTTGTCTCAAGTAAACAGATCAGACCTAAGACTATGGTATACCTTATTTGCCACATTCTTCCATCATGCAGTCTTACTTGTCCTCCAAAGTAAT